AGATGTTGAAACTCTTAAGGCCTGATCTACTAAAGGTTTGCGTGTGCAAAAACACGTGCAAACTTGATAGCGCACGGAAACCTGATCTACTAACCAGGTGCACCGAGGATTGCGTCTGTCAAATGAGCAAAAAGCGCGCACAATGGATTTAGCGCGTATGGCTTCATGAATATGCAGAATGTATGTAGATCATCAGAACTCGCAAAATGCTTGGAGGAGCAGATGCAAATGGAATCATTTGATTGCGGTCGCTGTTTTGCGTCTATATTTAGCACATTTGAAAGGCACGTGCAAACTGGAGCAGCATTACGCACGGTCATTGTGGAGAGAAGGAGGCAGAAGTGTCATGATACACGCCATGATCCTCGTCCAAAAACTTGTGATTCATTTCGTTTTTCTAGTAAATGACGATTTTCATAAATAATAAGGTCAAACACGGAAAAGACGAAAAAAATTATCCGTTTGTCTCATTAAGTTTTAATCCCTTTTTTGATTTCTAGTATATCTTCTTGTATCTGCAAAGCACTTTGAATTGTCTTGTGTATGAATGGTGCTCTACAAATAAGCTTTCCTTGGTCAACTCCATGGCTTCAAACACTCTGCTCTAACAAACTCTCCATGGTGACGGCCGACAGCGCACCACTTTTGCACCCGTTACCAATTGCGCACCCAATGATAGTAGATCACCCGCAACACGCCCACTAATAGCATGTGCAATTTTTTTTGTTTGGACACGCAATTTAGCGCTCGCTATTTGGGATCTTTGTAGATCAGGCCCTCAGAGTTTTAAGGATGTAAAGATGGGAGGAGGTTCAACACTTTGTGAGAGACTGCGTTAGGAGCCAAATCGTTGTTCAGGAACATCATTGACACATGAAATCATTAAAAGATTTAGAAATCAGACACGACTCTGTAGTGGAAGTCACCACACAGACTCAAAATCGCATCCTAAAAGTGCTGTTTTTGGTGAACTTTGAAATATGATGTAATTCGCCCAAAGTTTCGCCCACTCCTAAAGGCGCCTCATAGGAGCGCTTCCTTGTGGATCCTCTTTCCTCAGGTAAAGTCTGCTGAGGCGTTTCCTTGCCCCCTCCAGCTGAGTCTTATCCATAATTAATGTCTGAACATGGTCTCTAAGGATCTGCCATCCATTATTAATGCCTGACGATTTCTCTCTTCCTCTCCCAGGACCTCCTTCTGTCTCCTCCTCATCATCCCTCCTACTTCTTGGACCGTCTGGAGAAAAGCTAACAGCAGGTGCGTCCTCCTCCCTCCTCATGTCTTCTCCTCCTTCAGCCCGTCTGTGACTTCCTCCAGGTCACTCTGGGTTTCCAGAGGGTGTTAAACGCGCTCAATGTGTGTGTGCGCGCAAGTGTGTGCGCCACCTGGGAAAGGTGGCAACCTGCTAAACATGTGTGTTTGTATTAATAATGTATGACGGCTCGTCTTACTCCTTCAGACAATTAACCTGCACATAGACACACATAAGGAAACGCACAGCAGAAACTCACACACCGTCTGTCATGTGGGTTTACTCACAGCTGGTCATGGCCACATCTGTCCGAGACTGGAAACATCATATTTGATCAGACGGGTTTTAACAGAGAGACACAAAGTGTTTTCATGTCCATTCTTTTAAATAGACTTTAAAGCTCCTGTAGGGAGTTTTTCAATGTCTATGAAATACACAAAAATAAATACAAACAAACTCAACCGTCAGCTTCAAGTCTGACTATTCCTATATCCTAATTTTTGACAACTGGAACCCATGCCAGGGGGTAGAAGTCCTTAAACTCAATTATAAAATTGAATGTCAAGAGTCGTCAAGGTGAGATTTATCATCGAGCAACAATGGCTTACTCCACAGTGGGGTGCAAATGTCGGCACAAGCTGAAGAAGTCCTCACAGGAGCTTTAACTCTTACAAAGTACATTTTTTCAATCACATTGAGGCTCCAGTTTTATATATTTTAATATGAATCGCCATTGTTACCTCTATAAAACAGTCCTATTACCGCAATTGACACCACAGTATCATTGTACTTTACCACTATTGGTGATAATCATCCTTTTTAGGATGAAGATATTAAAACTTTGCTAAAAATAAGCAGACAGGAACACCTGTGCATTACAGACTACAGCAGGGTGTCGCAGCTCAAGGAAGAACATTTATGATAATTTCTTCATGGAAATGCAATCAGACAGAGACGCTAAGGCAGAAGAACTACCGCGTCTGCAGTGCAAAATGATTAATATGATGATTATTACTTAATGGAAATGATAAAGAAATGATCATAAATGTTCTTCCTTGAGCTGCGACACCCCGCTGTAGTCCGTATTGGACTGGCCTGAGGTCTCACTACAAACAAGTGACTGCTGGAAGAGAGTTGGTGAGTTGTGTTAAGTCTCTTAGCTAGAGAAATTAGGCAAAGCTAAAAAGATATTTGGTGGCTAGTACTATGGTGTGACCCAAAATTAATTTTACGCCGGAATATCCCTTTAATGCTAGATGAAGGAGAAGCAGCAGCTGCCAGCGAGCTAGCTATAGCAACCCTTTTTAAAAAGTGACATTCAAAGACTGTAAGTGGTGAAAATGTAAACTTTCCAACAGTTCCTTTCACAGTTTTCATTCAGTTTATTTTATTCAGTTTAAACTTCAAAATAAAAGCACAGTTTATAATGCAGGTCATGAAACAACTTAAATGCAAAACAAGCCAAAAAAAATTCAAAATAAAAGCATGATGAATAATTGTTTTGTGAGGAAATTCAGTCACAGGGCTGATGATGTTAAGTCATAAATTTAAATATTAGGTTAATTGTGATAAATATTTTAATGTATGAGGAGAAAATCGGCTTTCTGACAGTGAAGCGAGAGGAAAATGAAGAGCTCATAAGAAAGACTGTGTGTGGGGGTGAGTGTGTGTGCTGGAACAGACGGTGCCATGGCCTTTTGCTGGCATGCAAGTGTACTCAGGTGCTAGAGTGTGTGTGTGTGTGTGTGTGTGTGTGTGTGTGTGTGTGTGTGTGTGTGTGTGTGTGTGGTGACAGTTCTTCTTTCCTCAGGTGCTGGGTGTTGTCTTTTGGCAGGAGTATTTAGTGTGTGTGAGAGTGTGAGTGTGCATACTCGCGCTTCTTCTCCTTGGAGGAGACGGTCTGTAATTACTGCTGTAGATGAGGCTCATTCATCTAAGCATACACACTTTCTTACACATACTGTAAACACACTAAAGGGTCTTTTAGCATTATAGGGTATTTACTAGCATTTCTGGGTCATGTAAATGCAGTTTCCTCTTTCCGTTGGGACGGTTTTAACCTGCATTTGTTGTTGCTGGAGTCAGCTTCCACAGACAGAGGTTTTTCGGTGGGATTTTGAGCCCATGCGGCGACTTCCACTACAGAGACATGACTGTTTTTAGGGGCATGTGACCTCTTTTGAAGCTATAGTGGTCTGTGAAGGTCTTGTACAATGCTTATAGTTGTAAAGTTTACAACTCAAGGGTATGACCGTTGAGTAAAGTGTATGAAACCCAGTCTATGATTTCTTTAAACGTCTGTATTTTGAAGCAGCTGTAGGAAACTTTTAATGTCTGAAATTAAGAATTCCGTTAAAGAAGCATCTTTTTTGTGGTTTATATACAAAAAAGCTTTTAATATCAGTCAATAGCTATTAGTTATTGATGACATTTGGTAGTTTAAGTGTAGCCTGGCTGGACTTCGGCCCATTGGGAGCGTGTATTCCTGGTCAGAAAATAACCGGGCCAATCAGAGACCGTGTTTCCATTGTTACCCGGACAACAGGGAAAGGCAGCCCCTTATTTGTCCACAGGGGGCGCCAAAACCAATATTAATAATAAAAATCAAAATTGGTCACTCTTCCAGGCTCAGGAGTGAAGTAGCGCTGTATATTCAGACATCTACCCTTTAACGAGGAGGTTTTAATCTCCTGTAATCAAACCGTGTCGCTAACACATGAATCATCATCTCTTCGGTTTCAAACCCAACACTAAACGACTCCGACTCCTTCACCGCTTCTTGCAATAAAATCAAGTTCTTGGGTTTTAATTAGAGCTCGATCTGCTTTTGTGTTCCCGTGAACTCTATAAATGCCACACATTCAACAAATAACAGTTAGGTTTAATTAAGATGATTAAAAAACTCCTATCTAATCCGTCAACACTCCCTGTTCATATCTTACAATACACCACCGTGTGTGTGTGTGTGTGTGTCCTCTTCACGCCTGACAAATCAAGAAGATCACTGTATAATGACTGTGTAACGAGTGTGTCCTTAAGATACACACAGACACACACGCGATTCATATTCACAAACAAACATGTCCTTAAGACAGATCAAGCTTATCAATAGCTGTTAATTAAATTCTTGTGCGTCTAAATGAAAGACTTCGAATTGCTGTTTACAGTGCTCTCCGAAGTGTGTGTGTGTGTGTGTGTGTGTGTGTGTGTGTGTGTGTGTGTGTGTTCCCTGCTTGTTTGTTTGCTTTAATGAAAAGATTTCACCTTGCAACACGATTGGCTGTGGGAGGTGTTTGTGTATGCGAGTAATAAGGTAAGCAAGTGTGATGGTTAGTGTGTGTTTATTACCCCAAAGTAAATGACGGATGATGGACGAACCTGACGAGAGATAAAAACGGCAGAGCTCAAGTTCAGCGGAAGAGACTAAAGGACCAATTCGAGATTTTTTGGGAAACCTATCGACCCAAAGTGGATAAATAAAAAGGTCCAGAGAATGAGTAATCAATCTGGTCTGGCAAAAAATTTGACATTATCAAGTCACACCCGCTGTGCCCCATAGAGATGTTCAAATCTGAGAGACCTACAGACATCCTCTTCCATCCATTACCCAGACCCAACAGGAAGTCTGCTGCTTTGATTTGAATATCCTAATTTTAGTGATTTACGGGACATAACTCGTCCTCAGTGGTTTCCCTCCAACGACCTCAAATTTTGTCGGTGTATTGTTAACCTTTAGATGTCTAACCCCCCAAGCAGCTCATGTCCCCCCTTAAACAAGAAACACCCTGACCGGGATTCAAACCCAGGACCTTCTGGTTGTGAGGCGACAGTGCTAACCACTACACCACTGTGCCGCCCATTGGTTACCTTTCAGCATTGAAAATTCCAACGACACCCTTATTTTAGTGTGTTCTGGATCACAGTATCCAGAATTTTGTCCGGATCACCACCAAAATTTAATGGGATCCTCCTGGGGCTGAGACGCACCTCTGGTGAAAATTTCAGGTCAATCCGTCTGTTACTTTCTCCGTAAAGTTGCTAACAGACAAACAAACAAACAAACAAACCAATGCTACGGAAAACAAAACCTCCTTGGCGGAGGTAATAAAACATCCGGCTTCTTTTCAAAATAAAACACTTCATGTTTCTGACACCATGGATGAGGAGCTGCTGATTCTAGAAGTCTAGAAGTAGATTTCCTCCTCTGGAAGGACATAATCTTCTGCTTATATGGTTAGCTCATGTGGCTTATGACAACTTGCTATCATGTGATTGCACGTGAATCCGCAGGTTCTTGTGAGTTCTCGCGATTCCCACTGTCCGTAATCCACCACGACATTCGTCTCACAAACGGATCTGGTAGGAATTGGCGAACTGCGAAAATCGACGCCATTCCGGATGTGGTGGAAATCCCGGGTCAGACGTCTAAGGGTGGGTCTCACCATGAAACAGAAAGTTAGTTTCACTCCTTCATACAATCTTCAATCTGTTCCAAATTTCATACGTATGATCAAGGTCCACCCCTGAACACATGATCACAGCGCCACCTACTGGAAATACATGGACTAACATTTACTTACAATGTCCAGTTTGTTGTGTTCACTTCTAGATACAGTGATGAATTTCGTTTTTTAGCTTGGGTGTCATTATTAATCATTTAAAGCTGACTTCCTCTCAAAATTGAAATCTTCTCAGCTTATTTCATCGATTCTATCCCGACAATGAGATTTAGCTGTTGTGCTGATTGGGTTAAGATCCAATACAAACCACATGCTTTCTCTTAACCAGGCTGTTGGGCCTCACTACTCTGAAATAAAATTTCTGGATGTATTTCTTCGGTCACCTGTGAGGAGTGTTTGCCGGGTAGAAACGAGGTAAAAAGCCCTCATGCTGGTTCAGATACAAATGTGGCAGCTCTTTCTTGAAATCCCTCATCCCTCTCTTTTGCCTTATCCCGTCTTATCCCTCTGTATCTCTTCTTTCACTTCCAAACGCCATCTGTTCATCTGTAGCTGAGAAGGAGCTCGCCTTCCTCTCTGGCTCCCCTTTTTTTTTTCTCTCGCTTTTAAACTCATTCTCTGACATTGGCCTCGTGCCCTTGGCTCTCATTTATTGGAAAGTGAGAGCTTTTCTTTAAATCCTCGTCGCTCAATGGCCTCGAAAGGACTTCAGTGTAACCTACATGACAATCTGTAAGCCAGTTTAACATTTGGATGGACTCATAGCGGTGGGGTTTTCTTTAATTTAGGATTTCAAAGCAAAAAAGTGTAAAAAAACAAACAGGAAATGCTCTCCCAGTATCCTTATTTCCTCTACTCCTTGCTCCTCTAGATTAACACCCTCCTCCCTCCTTCTTCCCTCTTTAATATCCCCTGCTTTCCTCTCCAATTCCCATCCACCCTGCTCCATCTCGAGGGCATATGTCAAGAGGAAGCAAGCATCTGCTCCTTGAGAGGGATTTTGTGTCCGCTGCTCTGCCGGTCCGTGCCAGAAGTCCGTCAGTCGCACGGCGGCAGCATGGCCTGGCGAGGAAACGGGACATGAACCCGGGAGGAGAGCTCTGCTTGATTAAATTCGCCTGTCTGTGTCTTGGTTTGAGTTTCTCTGTGGTAGATTTCTGTGCAGCGGGGCTCTTCACGAAGCAGAGCTGCACCTGGTGTTGAAAGAAATCAGCATGAAGGACGGCTAGAGACAAAAAGTGAAAATGTGACGCGAAATAAAGGCAGGTTGAACAAAAGACACAAGTGTTTGCTGGTAGGGGAGGATGATTTATAAGCCAGTTTTTAAGGATTACACTCTTAAACATGAAGGCCAAGTGAAGCGTTGTTGGACGAGCCAAGTAAGGGGGGGAAGACTTGAAATATTTAGATGGAGCTGGTAGGTGAAGAGGCTGAACTTTTTCTTTTCTCTGCTAGCAGGTGTGTCAAAACGAGGAAGCATCCCTTTAAACTCATTTCGCCTTGTGCTCTCCTTCAAATATAAGAACATAATCACCAGACAGTAGTATGGAGTTTACAGAAGCATCCAGAGCCTAACAACCCTTCAAATCTGGACGTGAAAAGGCCTCCGCTCCTGTGGTGATGTCACGACAGGCATGGTTTATGCTGCGTTCGAGTTACCTCAGAAGTCAGTTGTCGGAGCCGAAAATGACGTCACACCTGAGTTACCAGCGTTTCAGTTACCAAGTCAGGAAAAAGCAAAATCGAAGGCCTGAAGCGAGATGGCTACATCTACGAAAAATATTTTAAAGCTTGCCTTGTCCGAACATAAGGCAAGCGCTAAAATAACTTTCGTTGATGTCGCCATCTTATTTCCATCTCCGATTTCGCTTTTTTCCGACCCGGTTACTGAAATGCTGGTAACCCGGGTGTGACGTCAATTTCAGCCCCGACATCTGACCTCTGAGGTAACTCGAACGAAGCATGGAAAGCCACTCCCACTTTTACTGCGTTACAGTTGGCTTTGAAGTCGGATGTCAGGGCTGGGAATGACGTTACACCCAAGTTGACGGCGTTCCAGTTAACGAGTCGGAAAACCAAGGTGGTCGCCCACTGTTAGCCGTTGTTAACTGTTGTTTACGACTGTTAGCCGTTGTCAGCGGTTGTTAGTTGTTGTTAGCTATACCATTTGTAAACAACGCACAACACCGTATTTTAATCATACAAACACCACAGCACCGTGTTCACAGTTAGACGTTGGGCAGTGCTAATAGATAATACTCGATCGATAGACGTGTGGTGCGATAGAAAAAAAACGGGTCGATAAAAAGTTCGATAGAAAAACACAGTTTCCCTTTCTTTTTCATCATAGCCTATCATGTAGCTTTTACTACAGTCATTACTTCCTCCCAACCAATCACAAACGCAGACCCAGGTACGCTACGGCACCAAGCCCAGCCCCTCTCAAACCACAACAGACAGCACGTGTATTAGAAAAAATGTCACAGCAAGGAGAAGCGGAGGACATTGTCCCGAAAAAAGGTTTCAGTAGTTCACCAGCATGGCAATGTTTTGGTTTTTACAAGTCTGACAAAAAGCGAACAGCGGTCGTTTGCAAAATTTGCAGAGAATTAGTAAAAACCAAGTCTGGTAACACAACCAACTTGTTTTACCATCTAAACCGATCGCACCCGCAGGAGTACGAGCTGTGTCGGCCGCGCCGCGGCTCCACGTCGTCGGAGGAGGAATCCTCTGGAACCGCTGCCAGCACCAGCACAAAGCATGTGAAGCAGACCAAACTGGACTTCGTTTCTTGCCAAAATACGACAAAGCGTCCAAGCGGCATGCGGACATCACCCATGCAGTGACATGCTGCCAATAACTACCGTTGAAAAGCCTGGCTTCGACCAGCTTCTAGCCACTCTCGACCCGCGATATGAAGTGCCCGGCCGCAAGTATTTCTCAAACACAGCGCTTCAGGCATGAAAACGGGTCAGGGGTTGAAAAACTGACAAGGGTGCGGAGGAAATACGTTCCGGTGTTGTGCTGTAGAATGCACCCCTGCATCCCGTCCACTCATTAGCTTCTTAAAGTGGAAGAAAATGAGCTCATGCGCGAGTATTTGGATCATGGCTACTAGCAGGGGGTGCGTTCGGCAGGGGTGCATTCTACGACACAACACCGGCGTGGATAAGTCCTGCTTCTCGTGCTCAGTTTGCGTATTAAGTCAATCATATGATAATTAAAAAAAAAGAAATCTCCCGACCCCGGGAGACACCAGGCTGTGGGCAGTTTCCCACACAGTTAAAACTGGTAGTATGCTATTCCCACCTAAAGCTATTCTGTTTATTTATATATTTGTTTGTTTTGTTTATTTTCATCAAAAGACTATTTAAATATTTATTTATCAGATTTTCTGGTCACTTTAGTCTTTATGTTTGTCAGTATTTACTGACGTCACTCAGGCCACTTAAGTTGATTTCTTTTTTTTTTTAAGTTCTTTTTTAAAAAACTTTCAGTTGTGGTAAAAAAATAAATAAAAAGGTGGTTGAATAAAGGTTTGAATTTGATTTTAGTGCTTGTGTGTTCTTTATTAAAAGTAGGTCATTAAGCAATAGCATAAAACATCCAGGGCTGCAATTAAAATATATGTTAAATAATTATAATAATTATATCGATAATTATCGATATCGATCAATATGATTTATTTTTTATCGATATGCTTTTTTTCTATATCGTCCAGGCCTACCGTGTTCACAGTTAGACGTTGGGCAGTGCTAATAGATAATACTCTGACTGTTGATGCACTGTGCTGCCATTTTTATGAGAGATCGCTGCCATCTATCAATTATGACGTCGTCACGTCGAGTCAGAAATCCGACTTCAGGGGGGCGTTCCGCCTCAATTTCCAACTTGGAGCTCAGAAATCCCGACTTCCGCGGTAACTCGAATGCAGCAGTAGTCCTTGATTTAAATCCAAGATGGAGGCTTCCTGCATCAACAGTTATAACAATTAACACTAAAGTTTTATGGGCAAAACCCACAGGATCCGGAACGGCTCTGCTCCGCTCTGGTATGACAACTAACACTGCATTCGAGTTACCTCTGAAGTCAGATGTTGGAGCTGAAAATGACGTCACACCCGAGCTCCTAGCGTTTCAGGTACCAAGTTGGAAAAAAGCGAAATCAGAGGCCTGAAACAAGATGGCTACATCTACGAAAGTTATTTTAGCACTTGCCGTATTCGGACAACGCAGCATAACACTCAAGTTTTACTGTACCCTTGACAGAGTGGCCGTAGCGACCATGGTAGCAACACTTCAACAGTGACCTACCTCTGTTAGGGTCAGGTTTTGGATCATATATGTGGTGGGCTGGCCTTGGCGACATTATTTTCATATTTTTCCGCCTCTGTATCTTCCTGTTATGGTCTGTACCCTTCTCCCCTGAGAGAACAATCAGGCCGCCAATCTCTTTATCTTTAGAAATCAAAACCTTGTTGAGGTCAAGAGTAGATAAAGTCCTTTCAGGAGTATTACAGTCTTCCCATGATTGATAAGCTACTGCTGTTGTGACCGTCAGTCCAAGGCACATTTCCATCTGAGTACAGTCACTTAGATTTCCAAAAACCAAGAGGGAGAGTTTGTTTCCAGCTAATCTTGTGGTCTGCTTTA